TTCTAGGCACCTATGCAAACCAAGCCTTGGTCCATTGTCAGCAAACCCAAAAATTTTACCCAAGAGGGCACATCCATAACAAATACAAACATAGCATGTAAACATCATGTGTCATAAACATATGAATTAAGATAATAATAAGAATGAAAATGGGGAAAGAGGAGTTAAAGATGGAGGGAGGTGGGTGACAAAGGGGAAAAAAAAGAAGCCATGCTATGTACATGTACCTACTCCCTAAGATGAATGTAAACGTAAATGTCATGTACTGAAAACATGTACTAACAAAATTTTTTTTAAAAAAACAGTTACTTAAAAGCATTATTGGAACTGACACAAATGGTGAGTTTGGGGATATTTCAAAGGAGTCCTGTATGATGTTTGGAAGATGCTCAGCATCTTGCAATATCTATGTCCTAAGGAGAAATCCAACGCCAGCCACATGGAGCACAGAGATACTTTAGCCACACCTTGAGTGGCTGCTGGTAGCTCCCCGAGGTCCCCACTATCTTTACTGGGCTCCTGTCAGCCAGCTGTCTTTAGCAGAAAACTCTCCCAGCCCCTAAAGCTGATGCAATATAACAAGATTGCTACTGGTGTGCCAAGCAAGCTTTGCTCAAAAATCTAGAGATTCCTGATTCCTGTTCCTGCAGTCATTGGAGATCCTAAGAATTACCAATATGGGATAGGATTCCTTAAGTGTGCTCATAAAGTGCTCGTGTGCTCTCACTCGTGCTTTCCTTTCCCCTTTATGATTGTGGCTAAATTCCACAATGAGCTTTATCTTCTTCCTTAGACTCTAGAAAATGGTGTAGTGTTCCATGTATCTCAGATCATTCTGGTCGCTGATACACAATACCAAATACCTGCAATGTAAAAACTGGGTTTAATTTGCTCATTGTTTCAGTCCATTATCATCCAGCTCCAAGGAAGAGATATCATGGCAGAAAGGCATGGTGGAACAAAGATGTGAAGGACCAGACATAGACCCAAGGCCATGCCTCCATGATCCACCCAAAAAAATACCAAGATCAAGGTGCCAACAGATTCGAGTCTGGTAAGAGCCTGCTTTCTGGTTCATAGATAGTCATCTTCCCATGTCTTCAGTGATCGAAGGGTGAGAAAATCATCCAAGGTTCCCTAACAAAGGGAACCTTCATTAGGTCATGAGGGCTCCACTCTCTCAAAAGATCCATTCCCAAGTAAATTCACATGGAGGGTTATGATTTCAACATGCATATTTTTGAAAGACACAATTACTCACTTTCTAGCAGGAAGACATAGCAACACCATGAATCTTTTCATTCATGGTCCCTAAAATATCCAACCTCAGTTTTGCTATTATCTAGACTTTTTTTAAACTCATCTGGCAGCTGCTCAAGTTTCTAACTATGTAAATGGTGCTTAGATATGTGTGAAGACCTCAAGATATCTTTCTTTTCTGTTGTGCCTGACATAAAATAGGCACTTGTGAATGTTTTCTGAATGAATAAATAACTCATAAACAATGAAAGCTCTTTAAACTAGGAAAATGATCTTTGAGAGTTTACCTGAGGTCTCTTCCTATAATAATGGCTATTGTTAACTTCCTCAGGATTCTCTCCTAACAGGAACCATGGCCACTCTGGAACCAGTCTAGTCTGGAAATCAGGATAATCAACTGGCCCGATGGTGCTTTTGCCAAACCTGGAAACAGAAAAATGAGGATTCTAACACTATTCAAAAATATAGTGGATTACACATCCTGTGATATTATTCCTTCATTTCAGCCTGATCAGAATTCAACTGCCTGTCATACAGTACAATACATTAACCAAAAGAAATCACCATTATCAAAAGGGACAAAAAGGAGAGGCTTTTGATGTTTTTCTTTAAAGAGACTCTGTTTACATCTTGTAGTTTCTTAATCAGTTTGGAATGAATAGCACTTGCCAGTAAGCACTAGATGTATTTTGTGTGTCACACACACACACACACACACACACCACATCTTGATGTCTAATATTTCACTTACATCAATGTGTGTACTCCCCATGGCCTGGTAGTTCCATATTCAATTTAGAAAAACTACAGAAAAACAATTTTCCTAGCAAATAAGAAGAAATGGAAAACACTTTCTTCAAATGACTAACACAAAATGAAACTGTAAAAATTAAGATGAAAAAGAAGTGACCCCCATCATAAAGGCTCTGATAAAGTAGGGAACATAAATGATGCTTTGTGGACGTAATCGCCAGACATTCAAGACAGTGAAAAATCTCATACAAAAAGCTTCCTCTACACCTTTACGCAGGATCAGGACTCTGATCACAAAGCTCTGGTTGCTCTAGTTAGAAAGAGGAAAACTAACTAATTTATAGTTTTATAACTATAAACTAGTTTTATAACTAATTTATATATAAGTTTGCAATTTATAATACAATATAAAATTAAATAATATAATAAAATTATAATGTTTAATTTTAATTTTGCTATCCTGTAATAATTTCTTCTTTACTCTCAAGAAGACTTCATACTTCCAGTAAAACTCCATCTGAAACCCCAAGTTTACACAAATAATTCATAGGAATGTTCTTGGCCAAAGATGACCAAATAAATGGATATAGTACACGTGTGGTTCCATCTCCCTGCTTCCAGACATGGGTCTTTATATCATGTGCAGGGACATGCTTTCTCCACACACACGTGTGTGTATAAATTTTAGTCAAATAATTATTTTCTCCTTGGCCATTTTTGCAAGTTTTACCAAAATATCAACAAGAAAATATTATACCTACAGATTGTGCCAGTCAATCTTAATTGTCAAGTTGAATGGATTAAGAGATTATTGGACAGATGATTGGTTCATAGGGGTGCTAACCTGATCAGTGGATTAATCTACTAATGTTCAAAGCTGAATGTGCTGTTAGGAGGTGGGGCCCAGGTCAAGGAGCTGGGTCACTGGGAGAGTACAATTCCTCCTGCTGGTGCTCTTCTGTGCTCTACTTCACACCTGATGTGAAGTGAGCAGCTTGTTCCACTGTACTCTTCCACCATGGTGCTCCTGCCTTGGAGTCAGCCAACCACAGACTGAAACTGTTAACCAAATAGATTGGGGATCAGACTGTGAGGACAAAGCTCAAAGGGAAAAGGTGAAAGTAGATAGAAAGAGTAAACAGAAACTGGGCTGGAAGAAGGACTCCACACGCCTCAGTCTTCTACTCTTAGACTTTTCTATTATACTCTAAATGGACTTTAGTTCATTTGCTATATAAAACAAACTCAATATCTAAACTTGCACTGTCATATCGTTTAAGGCAAAAGATGAAATTTAGGTGTGATTTCAAAACTAAAGGTCTTTATTATGTATTGTCTTCATGATGTTAGAGTGCATTTAAGCACTGTTTCTTATTCTATAATTTGTCATATATGAAATATATGTAAAGAAATAATACAGTATCTCAAAGACATAAATTAATAAGAATAACCAGAACTCATGATGAGACTATTCCATAGAGGAATTTTTGACAGGTATGTAGAGTTGAGGGTCATCTCTTCCCTGGCTTGTGAAATAAAGAAAAAATAAGAAGGCAATCATATACATCACAGAGTAATTTCTTAGTCATTTCATATATATTTACTGAACCAATCCATAGGTTTGATTTTCCCAATAATTTCTCTCTTTTATTCTTCTTGATAAAGATCTTCACTAGTTATTATGCAATCTATGTAATCTGGTTTTGCCGATGTTGAGCAGGATTAAAGTTGTAGCCCACATTCTTCTCTTTTTGAGTAATCTAAGGTAGCCTCAAATTCAAACTGCAAAAATACAGTCAATTCTGTTATCATATGACATATGCATTTCTAAAAATCAACAGGCTATGCAGAATTATGCAGTAAAATACAGGGTTTATGGGGGAAATGAAACTAGGGGTGCAAAAATTTAAACACTGTTAGTGACATATAAGCAAAAGATAGGAACCAAATAAAAATGTCAGCCATTCTCATGTTAAATGGCCAAGAAATACATAAATATTGCAATAATTATGACTGCTTACCTTGACAACAACCTGATTTTGCCTATGAACATGGGGTGCTGGAAAGGATATAGCTTGTGAATCATTACAAAATGGTAGATGGAGGATTATCTGGAATCAGACTGAATGTTGAAAGGCCAGATGAGAATGGATGTGGCTCATAATGAACATGGTGAGCTGAGGGAGCTGGTAGACATGAATGTGTCCATTTTATATATTCACCACAACTCAATTAAGCAGAGGACAGCTTCTGCATTCTTGTAGTGTTTCTTGTGGACTCAGTCATTCACAAATAAATGTAAAATTTGCATTATGCTCAAATTGTTCCCTAATTCTTCAATCTTTTTGGAACAAATTGACATTTTCAAAACAATAATTACAGCAGAATTAACTATATCTAGAAGTGTAAGGTTCTTATTTCTAACCCTTAGCCTCCCTTCTACCTGCAGAATAAAATTTTCCTAAATTCAAATCTCATCTTTTCTTTAAGATCTCTCAGAAGAAGCAGGCAGTCCAGATGGATGTTTCAGATAATAAATGAGGCAGGTATTTAAAGGACAGAGATTGTGATTTGCTCAGGGCTTTATCAAAGTTTTCCCTCCTGAATCATAATTGAGCTTGACATTGAAAATCAGTAGTTTGAAAAGAAGACTAGAGGTAACAAATCAATGAAAATACATAGGCCAAAAAAAGGAACCCAGGCCAAGGATCAGGCTCTGTCCCTCCAGGATTGTCCTCTTCCTGATAAAAAGTCAAAGCAGCAAGAAGCAGGCAGCAATAATGATATGTTCCAGATGTCCATCTTCACTCTTTTCAAAGTTTGACTTTATTTTTAATTGATAAATAATAATTATATATACTTATAGGTAATGTATTGGTCACCATTTCCATCCTTAGGGCCAAATACTTGATACCCACAATTTGAAGGAAATGAAATTAATTTGACTCAGTTTCAGAGGGTTCAGCTCATGGTCTACTGGCTCCAAGGTAGAAACATCAAGGCAGAAGGGTGCAACTGAGCAAAGTCACTTGGCTCATAGCAGGTGGGAAACAGAACACGAGAAGAATTCAGAAAGGGGCCAGAGGCCAGATATAGACCCAATGATCCACCAAGACACAGCCAAAAGTATGTTTTACTAATCTCTTAGATAACTTTTAAAGAAATTAAGTTGACAGTTAAACTTAACTGACACATTCCACCCCTTGTCACCATAACACCCAAACACTTCTCCTTAAACCACACTTAACCTCCAAATGAAGATGTTAAAACATTCATAATTCTGCCTACCATGATACAAGTAGTACACCTGAAAACTTAATTGTCCCTTCCCCAAATTTCCAACAGTCCCAGCATTCCTCAAAAGTCCACATCCAAAATCTTTGCTTAGAATCAAGGCAAACTTTGAGCTGTGAGCACTTAAAAAATTAAAAGGCAAAGTACCTTATCCCAAGATGCAGTGGCACAGGGTAAAGAGTCCTGTTATAAAAGGGAGGAATGGCAGATAGAAAGTAATAGGACCTAAGCAAGACCAAAACCAGCAGGGCAACTATTAAATCCTATAGCTCCATGTCTGTCATCCAGAGCACATGGTGGTAAGAGGTGAATTCCAGAGGGCTTAGGCAGTGCCTTTGATAGCTGTAGCCCACATGGCCTCTTTCTTGGGTTGGATCCAGACACTGTTCAATGGCTTTGCTTGACACGCATTCCACATTCTTGGCATCTCCAACTCCCTGGGGTCGCCACAGCATCTTTGGCTTCATTCACACAGCCTTAGGCACTCACCTTCCAGGACTTCTAGGCCTTCCTTTGAAATCTGGGTGGAAGCTTCTACAACCCCAACTTTTGCATTATGCATACCTAAACAACCAGCATCACATGGAAAACACCAAGGTGTGCCATGAGCCCATGCACTAACCAGGTCCCTTTGGACCATGGCTTCAGCAGCCTCTAGGTGCTGGATGGCTAAGCACAATGAAATAAACCCTGTGCAACAAGTTCCCTAATTAGGCCTTCTTGAGCTGGGTGTCAACATCTCTCTTCTCAAAGGAAAGATTTATACTATTATACCTTTGAGCCTATAATAAGTGGGGAAGTGTTGATTCCTGAGATACCCTCAAGGTATTTTCTTCTTATCCTGATTGTAAGTATTTGATGTCTTTTTTAAGGGTGCTAACCCCTTCAGCAACCATACGTCCTTTGGCCTAAACTTTACATGAGCTTCTTTTTGGACCAACATCTAAATTTTTTTAAAGTGCTGTGCACTTGGCTTCTAATCCTCACTATAAATCTTGGTAAAAGAAGCTAGCAGTACCTACCCATGGCACAACCTGAATATTATGTTACCTTGAAATTTTCTCTACCAGAACAATCAATCCATATCCTTTAAACTCAGCCGCCCTCAAAGTCTCAAAACATGGGCAAGATATACACAGGTTATTTGCCAGAATACAACATAAACGGCCTCTACTTCAACTCCCAAAAGTTTCCCTGTCTGAAATCTCATAAGCCTAGCCTTCACTTTTCACATTCCTATCAGCATTCTCATCATCTGAACTTTGACAAGAATCACTCATCAAACTCTGATTACAACATTCTATGGCTTCTCTAACCCATATCCCCAAACTTGTTCAAACTCCTCTCCAAACCCAGTTCCAAAGACTTCTGACCACATAGTCCGTTACAGTCACAGCAATGACCCCATTTCTCTGGTACCAAGTTTTTGTATTGGCAAGCTTTCCCATCACTGAGACTACCTAATGCCCACAGTTTAAGAGAGGTTGTTCTCGCGAGACCTCCGCGTCGAGCGCGCTCGCACTTTCCCGGCGGCGCTCCAATCTCCTCAGAGTTGGGGGCTCGGCGGGCGGCGCTCGGGGCTCGAGGGCGGGCGGCGCGGTGTGGATGGAGGCGCCTGCTCAGCCCGCCTGACTCTGAGCGGCCGGATTGTGAGGGGAGCGGCGGCGGACTCCGCGGGCCCCAGCTTGGTTGACTATATTGTGGAGTATGACTGTGATGCTGTACATGATGATGAATTAACTATTCGAGTTGGGGAAATCATCAGGAATGTGAAAAAACTACAAGAAGAAGGATGGCTGGAAGGGGAACTAAATGGGAGAAGAGGAATGTTCCCTGATAATTTTGTCAAGGAAATTAAACGAGAAACAGACACTAAGGATGACAATTTGCCCATCAAACGGGAAAGGCATGGAAATGTAGCAAGTCTTGTACAACGAATACGCACTTATGGCCTTCCAGCTGGAGGAATTCAGCCTCATCCACAAACCAAAAACATTAAGAAGAAGACCAAGAAGCGTCAGTGTAAAGTTCTCTTTGAATACATTCCACAGAATGAGGACGAGCTGGAGCTGCAGGTGGGAGATATCACTGATATTAATGAAGAGGTGGAAGAAGGCTGGTGGAGTGGAACCCTGAACCACAAGGTGGGATTGTTTCCCTCAAACTTCGTGAAGGAGCTGGAGGACACAGACGACAGTGATTCTCTAGAAGCCCAGGATGAGCCAGACTCTGTTCTGACTGCGCCAACCTCGCCTTTACCTTCCCCGGGGAATGGTGGTGAGACTGCACCAGGAACAGTCACTCAGCCAAAGAAAATTCGAGGAATTGGGTTTGGAGACATTTTCAAAGATGGGTCTTTGAAACTTAGGACAAGAACATCCAGTAGTGAAACAGAAGAGAAAAAGCCAGAAAAGCCCTTAATCATGCAGTCTCTAGGACCCAAAACCCAGAATGTGGAGATAACAAAAACAGACACCAAAGGTAAAATTAAAGCTAAGGAATATTGTAGAACATTATTTGACTATGAAGGCTCTAATGAAGATGAACCTTCTTTTAAAGAAGGGGAGATAATTCGTTTGATAAGTAAGGAGACTGGAGAGGCTGGCTGGTGGAAGGGTGAGCTGAATGGGAAGGAAGGAGTGTTTCCAGACAACTTTGCCATTCAGATCGGTGACCTGGATAAGGACTTTCCTAAACCAAAGAAACCACCACCTCCTACCAAAGGTCCAGCTCCAAAGCCTGACACGTTAGCTGCAGAAAAGAAGCTTTTTCCTATAAAGCCTGAAGAAAAAGATGAAAACTCACTGCTGGAGCAGAAACCTAAACCAGCTGCTCCACAAGTCCCACCCAAGAAGCCTACTCCACCCACCAAAGCCAACAGTTTGTTGAGATCTCCTGGAACAGTTTTCCCAAAAAGGCCTGAAAAACCAGTTCCTCCACCACCTCCTTCAGCCAAGATTAATGGAGAAATTTCTACCATTTCATCAAAATTTGAAACTGAGCCAGTATCAAAACCAAAGCTAGATTCTGAACAGTTGTCAGTTAGACCAAAATCAGTAGACCTTGATTCACTTATAGCAAGAAGCTCTAAAGAAACAGATGTTGTAAATTTTGATGACATAGCCTCCTCACAGAACTTGCTACATCTCACTGCAAATAGACCAAAGATGCCTGGCCGCAGGCTCCCGGGCCGCTTCAATGGTGGACATTCTCCAACTCACAGCCCAGAAAAAACCTTGAAGTTACCAAAAGAAGATGATAGTGCCAACCTAAAACCATCTGAGTTCAAAAAGGACACGTGCTACTCTCCGAAGCCCTCTGTGCACCTTTCAACACCTTCAAGTGGTTCTCAAGCCAGTGCAGCTGGTTTCCTCACTCCATTAGAAGTCAAAGCTAAAGTGGAAACAGATGATGGGAAAAAAATTTCTGTGGATGAACTTCGAGCTCAGATTATTGAATTGATGTGCATTGTTGAAGCACTGAAAAAGGATCATGGGAAAGAACTGGAAAAACTGAGAAAAGATTTGGAAGAAGAGAAGGCACTGAGAAGCAATCTAGAGGTGGAAATAGAGAAGCTAAAAAAAGCTGTCTTATCTTCTTGAGGTGGCATGGACCCAGTGTGTTAACATTCCAAGGATTCAGAAGCAACACTATGAATTCAACTGACTTGGGCTTTAAAACATCAATGTTGGTGATGTGATGCAGAAATATGAGTATATGAACTATAATATCTATTGAAAAGTTGGGGGAGGGTAAAATTTTTATATATATATTTTGTTTTGCCAATATGAAATGAAACGAGGCCTTATTTCTTACTGTGCTGGGATTGCGAACATTTTTGCTTGTTTGTTTGCTTGAAAATACTGCTGAGTCTGTATAAAAAGGAAAGAAAATTCGTAATAGTTTTTTTATTGAAACTTGTAGTATTATTTTTAAAGAGAGATATACTATAAATATGGTGATATCTTTCCAAATCTGTAAGATAAACTATTTGAGAGGGACAAATTAGCTTTATAGTAACTATATAGTCATTGCTTTCCCCATAATACATAAGGGATATAAACTGTGTGTGTACATATATACATATATACATATGTATATATTTTTACTTTAAGCTTCTTATCCAAGATGACACTGTTGTGCCCATTTGTCTGCAGTGCTGTTTATATTTTGGGTGATGAAATCAGAGTTTCCTAGTTATAAACTAGATTACTCCCCCAAGCATAAGTAATAACTAATGAAATAATAAGAATTTCAACTTTTAGAGTATTTTCTATTGCTTGCACTATAGGATAAAAGGAATTTGATTAAATATATTGGGTTGTTAAACATTAAAAAAAAAAAAAAAAAAAAAAAGAAGAGAGGCTAACTTGGCTCACAGTTTCAAAAGTTTTAGTACATGGCCCACTGGCTCCAAGGAAGAAACATGGTGCTAAAATATCACAAAGGACAGCTCCTTAGCTCATGGAGCCCAAGAAACAAAGCAGGGGAACAGTCCAGAAAGGAAGGGCCTAAGGACCAGGTACAGACCCCAAAGGCATGCCTCCATGACCCACATAGACATACCCTAAAATGCACTTTACTAATCTCCTAGGTGGCTCCTAAGCCAGTCAAGTTGACAATTAAGCTGAACTATCACTGATACTATCTATGAGTTCACCTAAGTCTTCCTTTTATTCCTGTAAACATCTTAAGGAACACTGTTGTGCAAGAGCAGCTAAAGAGCAAGGAATACAGTAGATTGTGTACTTGCTTATCAAGTATTTCATTGAACAATCACTGTTTTGCAATGCTACATTCCTAAGAAATAAAAGAAGTCTGAAACCACAATCTCACAAAGCTGATTAACTTTACTGTAAGGCTTCTTGGAGCTCACAGCCAGAAGAACATGTTTGGCAGTTCACAGGGGCTTCTTCCACCATTCATTTTCTCAATCACCAGTAATTGGAGTCATGCAATTCTTTATTGTGCAGGACTACCCAGAGCATTGCAGGAAAATTAGCTCATCCATGCTCAGCACTTACCAAATACCAACAGTGCACTCCAATCATTGTCAATATACAAAATTCTGGGCCGGGGATTTAGCTCAGTGGTTCTGTCACCTGGCTCACAAGAGCAAGGACCCGAGTTTGATCCCTGGCACCAAAGAAAAAAAAAATACGTGTGTGTGTGTGTGTGTGTGTGTGTGTGTGTGTGT